GCTTTTCAGCCAGACTTGAGGTTTTGAATGACTGGGGGTGGCTGGATCTCGCTTCCTTGGCTGGAGCCTCTATGAATAGGAAGGGCTGCGGATGGGTAGCCTAGCGGGTCAAAGTGATGGGGCACTGTGCTCATGGGGATGTAAGAACCTGCGTTTACGGGCACATAGTTGTCATCAGAGCTGGCACTGTCTGATCAACCCACGATAGTCTTTTTGGGGGATTGAACAGACCAGAAAGCGGTTTCTCCACCTCATTTTGGGTACTTGGAGTCACTGACTGGAGGTCTTTGTTGAGGGCTGCCCCACCGAGGTGTCTTTGTCTGACTTGGCTTGGGGTGCTGTGTGGGGGGGGGGACTATGGCTGAGTCCACTAGGAGGTCTCCAAATTCCCGACACAGGGTGTTGCTGGGTGCCTTGAAGGTGTACACATCCTCACTGTCTGCCTCAGACCCTGTGAGGCTGCCCTTGGTGTGGCTGTGTGAAGCCAGGCTACGGGGGCGGTCAAAAGCAATGTCTTACTGGGCGGTGGTGGCACATGCCTTTAATCCCAGCACTCAGGAAGCAGAGGCAGGGGGATCTTTGTGAGTTCGAGACCTGCCAGGTCTCCAAGAGCTAGTTCCAGGTCAGCCTCCAAAGCCACAGAGAAACCCTGTCTCAAAAAAAAAAAAAATCACTCTCTTTGAATTCTGTATTGTGTTGGCTTGGCTTGGGTGGGAAGGCTATAGAAGCCATGGACCTGACCACTGACTCTGTTGATACAGTGTCTATTGCCCTGGGCAAGTTTTCATGCAGCTGTATCACTCTCCTGTCAGGTGCCCTGAGAGAAGCTGGCACTCCTCACATTTTCTGTCCTTCGGTTTATGCACTGATGCAAGTGTTGGTACTCCTGAGGTGCACTGGTGGACAAGGCAGGCCGGATATGGCTTGACACAGGGGGCTGGCTACAGTGTGAAGGGACTGAGGACTTCCTTGCTCAGAGCAGGTGCTGACTGGAGCTGCTGAACTCAGCTGGAGAAGAGCAGAGACTATGACTGAAGAAAGGTTTCTCAGGGAGTCTGTGCTCTCTTTAGTCTGACTGAAGCCACAGATCTGGCAGATGCTCTGGACCCACCTATTCATGTCAGCCTCTGTCTCAGCCACCATGTAGAAGGTGCGCTCATTGGTCTTGATATCAGACATAAAACTCTTTTGGAGCTCTTTTTTGCTGAAAGTCAGGCCTACATCCACTTACAGAAGTTTAGGTTGATGATCCACAGGGGTTTCTTGAGTGTTCATTCTTGTAGTATTCCAGAACATCTGGGTTCCCACTCATCTGACCGCTCCGCAGGATAAACCAGTGTTTCTTCCAAGCATAGCGACCCAACCTTTTCTCGGGAGGCGATTTTTCCAGGCAGCCAGTGCACACCACATCGTCACCCGCTGACTGGAGCCCGCAGCAGGCTTGAATGGACAAGGGTGCAGGCAGCTCACAGGGGAGGAATTCCTCAGAGGAGGATTTCCTGTATTTCTGTACTAATTCTCTTAGCATTATTACTTAATGCAAAGGTAAGATGAGATCTTACCAATACCTTGTCTCTTTAAACTTTCTCTGTGTGTTTTCTCTATTTCTTCAATCCAACTCCCTTAGGAGCTGAGGCACTCTTCCCGTACCTTCCCAGTCCAACTCCTTCAGGAGTTGAGGCACCCCTTTTCCAGTGCCTTTACAATCCAACTCTCTTTGGAGTTAAGGCACCCCTTTTTCAGTTCCTTTAACAATCCACGCTCATAACTCCTTACTTGCTGGCCAGCCTTCCAAGGGCGATCTCTCAGGGTCCCCTTTCTTTCCCAATCTTGGTGAGACCTCCACTTGTGGCTGCCTGCACCACAACTAAGTACAAGTATCGGGTGAAAGCCTCGAGATTTTGATGAACGACAAGACTCCTGGTCCATTTTCTGAGAGAATGTCTCCCACCTTTATTGTGGAGCAGCCTTATATACAAACTTACAAAAACCCCAGGTCAAAGGGTTCACAGCAGGATATTGATCCCAGTGGGGTGAGGTCAGGAAAACAGGAGGCACCCATGGTTATGCTGGACAACGACTCTTAGAGACCCCGTGGGGGCTGGGTCCCAGCAATCCAGGAATTCTTTATCAAAGGATCCTCCAACCACAATGTTGATGTTCTCTCCAGAAAACTTGTTTTGAAACAACGTTTCATGTAGCCCAGGCTAGCCTTGAACTCACTAAATAGCGGAGGATGGCCTTGAACTCCCAGTCCTCTTTCCTCTACTTCCCAAGTTCTGGGATTACAGGCATTCACTGTCACTTCCAACTCTGTACTTGTTTATTTTGCCGCATGGATAGGCTGAGACTTGAGACTTTTCCAAATCTTCAAGCTCTGGTTTGTTTTTACTTGAACAGCCTCTCACATTTTATAGTAAGCTAAAATTGGGCCACACCTTCAACACCTTGCTTAGAAATTTCTTCAGCTGAATAATTTGAGTTGAGGTCTCTTAACGTTCATTTTATTTTCGACAAAATGCTAGAACACAATTCAGCCAAATGCTGAATAGATATAGATATCTATGTATCTATAAATATAGATCTAGTTATTGTAACAAGGACTACCCCCCTCTAGGTGACAGTAACACAGTGGATGTCCTTTTTGTCCGAATCCTCACTAGAATCATCCTCTGCAGCAGTTTAAGAAATGTCTCCATAGGCTCCGGTGATTCCCCGCAGGTGGTGCTGTTCTCTACAACATCCTTACGAAGCTTCTCCATTCTCTCAGGACTCATTCATCAAATCCAGAAACATCCTGACTTCCTATCCCTCACACTCCATACCCAAGCTCTGGGCACATTTGACTGTCTTTACTTTAAAATATATACTGAATATGCCTGTTCTCACCTTCTCGGCTACCTGCTCTCTCTGACACTGCTGCAGCCTCCTGCTCTGCTTTCAAAGTCATCTTTGAAGTGGCATTTTACTGTATTCAAATTATTATTATGTGCATGCACATACGTGTGCATATCACAGTGTGTGTGTGGAGGTCAGAGGACAAGTATGAAGAGTCAGTTTTCTGTTTTCTTTCAGTGGTGTTCAGTGGTGTGTGTGTGTGTGTGTGTGTGTGTGTGTGTGTGTGTGTGTTGTGGTTGATTAATTGATTGGTTGGTTGATTGATTGACTGACTTTTGAGACAAAGTCTCACTATTTAACCCTGGCTGTCTTGAAATTTTCTATGTAGACCAGGTTGGCCTTGAACTCAGAGATCCGCCTGTGTACAGGCTGGGATCAAAGGCATACACCACCATACCCAGTCTCTTCTTCCATCTTTACGTGAGTTCTGGGGATCAAACTCAGGTGGCCGGTGTTGCATAGACTGCACCTTTACCTGTGGGACTGTCTTGCCAGCTCCAAGGGTGACCTTTTAAAAATTTAAGTTAGATCACTTCATTGTGCCTCAGCCTGTTCACGGTGCTCTAACAAAGAACTTTAGTCTATGTAAGTTAGAGACAGTAACTATTTCTCATATTTCTGAAGGTGAAGTCACTTGCAAATCTCGAGAGGGACACTCCTGAGATCATGCCTTCTCACTTTGTCCTTACATGGCAGAGATAACAACCCTGTGTCCTCACATGGAAAAGAGGCAGGTGTCTGGGCAGCTCTCTGAAGCCATGCTTAGAAGTTCATCCTTACTAGCCATATTGTCCATATGATTTAATACCCAGAAGGCATCGCTTTGGGGTTTAAACTCCAACGTTCATTTACAGAATCACAGGCCTTCAAACCATAGCAGACCCCATCTAAGCATCCAGTGGCTTCCCTTCACACTCCTAGCCCAGACCTGTAAGACCCCTGGACTGCCACCTTCCTGTCCCCCTTGTCCCCTGTCCACCTGGGCCTCACCATCCCTTACCCACTGGACTTTAGCTCTTTGGGCTTGCATGTTTCTAGATATGCCAAACTCCTTCCCAGGTGTCCTAGTGTGCTCTCCATTGCTGCAATAAATGCGGTGGCCAAAAGCAACTTGAGAAGGAAAGGGTTTGTTTGGCTTACATGTGCAGATCACAGCTGATCACTGAAGGAAGTCGGGGCGAGAACTCAAATCGGGACAGAACCCTGGAAGCAGGAACTGAAGCAGAGCAGGAACCCTTCATGCTTTGCTCTGTCTGCTCAGGAGTGGCACTGCCCACAGTGGACTTTGCCCTCCTACATCCATCATTGGTCAAGAAAATGTCCCACAGACTTGCCCATGGGCCAATCTGATGGAAGCATTTTTCTCAGTTCAAGTTCCCTCTTCCTGCCTTGTATTGATAAGGACTCCCCAGTACACCATCTCAGGCCTTTGTTCCGTCTCTTGCTCTCTCACTCCATCACCTGGTTTCCTCTTCCTCCTCACTGGGGAGCACCGTCTCCCTGACCTCTTCTGAGCTGCCCTTTGGGAGCAGCCTCACTCTGGTTTAATCATTTTATCACTGCACCTACTACCTCCTGGATTTACCTTGTGGGCGTGATGATTGTCCCTTGTTCTCTCCCCTCAGCTGTGAGAACCTTGGGGAGGTAGGACCTCATCTGGCATGCTTTGCCTTTTCATTGGTACCTGGGATAGCCCCTGGGCATAAGTCACTTTTTTGACCTCCATGTCCTGAGGATGTTGCAATCATATGAAGCCCTTTGTGTTTCCCTCTGCCATTCACTCAGCACCCAACATGGCCCCTGGCACACAGCCAGTAGCCTATGGATGTCCAAGCAAATCGACACACAGAAAGCATCAGTAATATTAGTGATAACAGCTCCACCATGGCCTTGTGAGGAGGCATTGCAGATGGGAACCTGGGACTGAGAGGCAGTGCCCTGTGGAAGGACCCAGAGATAGTAACGACAGACACGATTACCATCTATACTTGTCTGCTAATGGCTGCCTGGTGCATCTGGCTGAAGGGTGGGATATATTGGGTAGGTCAGGCCCTCTAACTTGGAGGAGTCCACAGCCCACCCTCTTCTGTCTCCCCCTTCAGCTATCCCAGGTTCCAACATTGGCAAGATGTGCAGCAGTGTTGGGGTACCAAGGCTCTGGTGTGTCCCCTCATGTGCCTGAAGAATCAGGATCCGTACAACAAGTTCAAAGGGCGGGTGAAGGCAGTTTCTGCCTGTGGCAGTTCCCCACACGTGAAGTCCAAGTACCTGTTTTACCTTTCTGACGGTAAGTCCCAAGGCTGAAGAAGCATTTGCTATTCTTTGGAGGGGGTTCTGCCTGCCATGGGCTTTCCTCTTGCCCCCAAATTCATATATTTTGCAAATGCAGGTTTCATTCATCCCATGTCAAGGTCTCCCAAAGTTCCCTCTTATTAAAACATCAACTCAAATCCCAGGTCTCCCAGGTAGTGTCTGAACCAGTGTGCCAGATGATGGCTTAGGTGCAACCCACTCAGTATGACTTCTGGGCATGGTTCCTCTCCACCTTCTGAGCTGGCGAGACTGAAGTATACGATCTCTGTTTCCTATATAAGATATGGGAGGGGAACACTAATAAAAACTGGGAAGACACAGGAAATGGGGGCATTAGTCCAAAGCAGCTTTAAAATCCAGCCAGGCAAACAAATGTCATTCAGGTTGACAGTCTGGGACAATTCTCCTTGACTCCCAGAGAAGACCTTTAAGCTCTGGCTTCCACTTACCATGGGCTCTAAGTATCTGCAGCCAAGGTTTTTCCAGCCTCCATCTTGTCAGCAGAAATGAAGCCAATGGCTTTCTTTGATTTCATACATAAAAGATGAGGTGGCAATGTTCCTGTAAATATAAGAATCTCAAGAATTATGAATGTCTTGTGGCTGCTTGCAGAGTCCCCCTGTGGGCATCTAATGTTATGTCTAGGCACGTTGTGCTGGATTGCTTTCCCTGGGCATCTTTGACTAACCCACCTTCCCGCTCCGGCCTTTCAACTCTCTGAGGCAGCAAGAGACAGAGCTAAGTTTTGTGAGGTTACTGTTTGGTGTTCATAGTCCTCACCCATGTCCACCCTTCCTCACACAGACTTGGCTAAAGTCAGAAGGATCCAGACTCCCATCCAGTACCTACCCTCTACTAGTAGTGTATTCCAGCAAGTTTTAGTTTCTAGGGTCTTGCTTTATTTTTAAAAATTGAGTTGGTGAAGACTGGGGAGAGAGCTCAATGGTCAAATGCTTCCATGAGCTCCAGGTTCAGTGAGAAAGCCTGACTCAAAAGATAAGGTGAGGTTCAACAGAGGGAGACACACACGGACCTCCGGCCTCTGCCCATACCCTCACAGGTATGCTCACACACACAAACACATGCACAAAACACATACACAGTGGGGATATGATGCTTCCCTCTCGGGGTCAGTGAGAGGCAAGTAAAAGAGCTGTGAGAAGCTTGCAGCATAGTAGATATTTGAAAAAAAATGCTAATGTGACTGCTCCCTGGGCGGGACAAACAGGAGACTAGACTGCCACAGGTTTTTGACAGGTCCTACTCTGTTTCTGACAGTGGAGCCAGGCCCTCCCACCCTTGTGTTGACCCAGAAGGAAAGGGTCCTATGGGTCAATGCTACCTACCAGCTGCCACCTTGCATGTCTTATCCGGACCTGAAGTATGAGGTGCAATTCTGGAAGGAGGGCATGGAGCTCAAGGTAGGAAACCCTGTGCTGTCCTGAGTGGGGTCTCCCCCCAACTCACACTGCTTCCTGCACTTTCCTCCAAGAATTTCCCCAGGGCTCCCTGACTGCAGTCAGCCCTGATGATGTGCAACACCGATGGCCTGTTCAACAGGAGATCTCTTTGCCCTCCACAGAACAGGCCTCACCTGCTCCGTAATTGTCAGTCTCATCTTGGAAACTGTAGGGTGGAGCGCAAGCCAGGGATGTGTGCACTTGAGTGTGTATGTGTGTTCATAGGAAAACCTTAAGGTATCTTCATCACTTTCCACTCTTTTTTTTCTAGACAGGGTCTCACCATGAAGCCCTGGCTGGCCTGGAACTTGTTATGTAGACCAGGCTGGCCTCAGACTCACAAAACTCTGAATGCCACCTTGGTTTTTGTTTGTTTGCTGTGTTTTGTTTTGTTTGAGACAGGGTCTCTCAGCGAACCAGGCACTGCAGATTAAGCTAGGATAACTGGCCAGCAAGTCCAGGGATGATGCTGTCTCTGCCTCACTAGCTCTGGGATTACAGGCATACCCAGAGTTTTATGTGGGTGCCAGGGATCCAACTTGGATCCTCATGCTCAAACGGAGAGCATTTTATAGACCCAGGCCCCACCCCCCATAAAAGTTTGAAGTGTTTTGGACTGCAGGAAATTGACTCTCTAAGTCACCAGATTCATTACAGAAAAGCCCAGAAACATCCAAATGAGCTGCAAGCAAAGAAAAAGTGCCCAGGGATGACCATGGAGGGCTCTTTGCACATCCAGTGTCTAGCACATTCCAGGGACAGGCCTGAATATTTACTTACGACAGATTGGAAAACCTTTTCCTATACAGGGCCAGAGAGTCAATATATTTGTTCCTGTGGCCTCAGAGTCTGAGCTCCACAGCTGTAACTCAAAAGCAACCACTTGTAAGCAGTATGGAAGGACGTGTGTGTTGCCGGGTTCCCACTTCTGAAACCAGGCAGTGGGGTAGAGTTGGTATGGCTGTGGCTCGATGACCCCAACTCTAGTTCACTCTTCTAGCATTCACACCTGTGACCTAGGGATGTGAACGTAAGGTGGTGGCTGCTGTTGTGCCCAAGTCACAAGGATCCCCAAAGAGACCAGGGAGACAGAGCACCGATGCAAATGCATGAGGTTTATTGATTGTTCTATCCTACCGAGGGAGGAACCTCTTCTAACAAGCTGACGCAGCAGCTTCCAGAGGGAGTGAAGTTTCCTGTCTACTGCTAGGTTTTAAAGACAAAAGTTGGGCTGAAGAGATGGCTCAGTGGTTAAGAGTACTTACTCTTCTTCCAGAGGTCCTGAGTTCAATTCTCAGCAACCACATGGTGGCTCACAACCACCTTGATTGAGATCTGATGCCCTCCGCTGGCATGCAGGCAGAAGACTGTATACATAATAAATAAATAAAATCTTTTTTAAAAAAAGACAAAAGTTACAGGATTATATCAGAAGGTATGGGTTGGTTTCTGATTGGTTGACATTTGGGGAACAATCACGAAAGTTTTCAAAGTCATGTTTTTGGCATGTAATACCTGTGTACCTATTTTTCTAATAGGTTAGTGCTGGGAGGGAACATACTGTGGTTTCTATGGCTTGCAGGTAGCCTATTATACCAATATTTTTCAGAACTGAATTTCCTGGAGACTACAGGGGAGTTTTTTTTTTTTTTTGTGGTCAAACAGTCCCCAGGATCCAAGTATCTGGGAGGCTGGGGCGGGGAGGGGGGGAGCTGGAGTTCCTTTGTGTTCAGTTTTGGCCCTAGGCTCCGGAAGGCCAGGGGATCTGGAGTTTCCTTGTGTCAGAGGCCTACGTGTCTTTTCTGTAGCCTGTCATGGCTGCTAAAGCAGGGGCTGAGTTGAGGGTCTGGTCCCTTCATTTCCGGAAGTGAAGCCTTTTAGTTTAGTTTACCCCTTTCAGCTGCCTTCTGGAATCTCAGGAATAGTGAAACATAACCCCATACCCCATCAACACATACAATTTGTCCGAATCTGGGTCTCATTGTGTAGTCCAGGTTAGCCCAAACTCCATCCTCCTGCCTCAGCCTCCTGAATGCATATTGGGATTACAGGCACATGCCTCCGTGCTTGGATTAAATGTGCATAATTTTTGTAAGTCAATAAAAAATAAGCACCCTAACTAGCATTGCCCAACAGGAGCATACTACAAGCCATGTATGTCATTTAAAAATGTTTATTGCCTATGGTTATTTTGTGTGTGTGACTCAGTGAGGGCAGAGCAGGCCTGTCTGCCACAGCATGTGTCTGGAGGTCAGAGGACAGCTTTATAAAATTGGTTCTCTTGTTGGATTGAGCGCAGATCATTAGGCTTGACAGCAAGCAACTTTACTACATCATCCTACTGGTCCCAAGTTTTAAAATGTTCCTCGTTAAGTTAAAGGAGCAGGTTTGATGGAGGGGAGGTGGTTGACATAGGATTTCCGATATTCCAGTCTGGCCTTGAACTTGCAATGTAGCCAAAAATGACTTTGAACCCCTTGACCCTCCTCCTACGGCCTCCACCTCCTAAGTGTTGGTATTACTGACATGCACAGCCTTGCCTGGCTTGACTTTAGCTTTCTGCTTTGAGACAGGGTCTCTAGATAGCCCTGGCTATTCTGAAACTCACTATGTAAATCAGACTGGCCTCAAACTCACAGAGATGCGCCTGCCTTTTATCCCATAGCACATTGCCTTGTCAACACGGAATTAATATGATTGCTGTTTGACCTTCTTTTTATCCTCTGTCTTTGGAAACTGATAGGCATTTTGTATTGCGGGCATATCTCCATTCTCACTAGCCACTTGCCCCTGCTTTGAGCTATACTGAGCAGCTAGGGCAGCTTCTAACCTACAGTGATTGAGTGACCCTTATCCCCAGTGGAGGTGTGGGTCCCTCCAGGCCTTGGTGAGCTACATGGGAGTGACCCCAAGTAGCAGGCTGCTTTGTTGTTGTTGTTTTGGTTTTTTGAGACAGGGTTTCTCTATGGCTTTGGAGGCTGTCCTGTAACTAGCTCTTGTAGACCAGGCTGGTCTCGAACTCACAGAGATCTGCCTGCCTCTGCCTCCCAAGTTCTGGGACTAAAGGCATGTGCCACCACCCAGCCTGCAGGCTGCTTTTGAACCCCAAAGTTCCGTACAAGGAAATTCAGCTGAGAAGAAACCACAACTTAGAAAGTGCCCTTAGCACTTGCACTTTTTAAAAAATATTTATTTATGTGTGTGGATGTTATGTTCATATGCTCATTTGCCCACCAGAGGAGGGTACAGTTATAGACAGTAACTGCAGTTATAAACAGTAGAAAGCTACCATGTAAGTGCAGGGAATTGAACTCGGGACCTCTGGAAGAACAGCTAATGCTCTTAACCACTGAACCATCTCTCCAGCCCCAATGCTTGCACTTTAATGTAAGAAGAGAAATGAAAGTTCCTGCGCCCCACTCTGTCTCACTTGGTCACTCCTCCATGTGTACCCATCAGTTGGGTGCCTGATCATTGCTGCTTGCTTTTCCAAACAGACACAGTTCAATGACACTGAACACAATAAACCCATCAAGATCCCTCTCCAGCACGGTGCTAGTGGACGCCACTGCCTCAGGGCCAGAACCATCTACACCTTTACTGTCCCCAAGTACAGCAACTTCTCTGAGCCCAGCTGCATCTCTATAGAGGCCCCAGGTGAGTGCAAAATGGCCCTGGAATGGGGACTTCCCTCTTTCGGAAGTCGATAGAATTGTGGGAAGCATAAACTGAGAGATGCGTTCAGTTGTGGAAAGTCCAGCTCTACCATACTGCCTGTGTGTCTTTGGGTAGTTTACACAACCTCTCTGAGCCCTAGCTTTCACCAGAGCGGGCTTATTCTCCTGAGGAGAGAGTGGGACGATCACTGGAAGCACCTGGCATACTGAGGTACTGGGATCATTGTTCTGTCTGCAGTTTCTATGTTCTCTCCTCCCCAGGAGCCAACTGGGCTGTCCTGACACTGCCCTTACTCTTGCCTCTGCTGGTAGCAGCTGCTGCAGTGGGTGTGATCTGGAAGAGACTGAAAGAGGACCCCTGGTTTCAGTGGGTAAAGGTGCCTCAAACACTGGTAAGGGTGTACAGAAGGCAGGAAGGGGTGTGTAGAAGGGGGGTGTTGAGAAACTGTAAGTGAGGCTGAGTTTGCAATGCCCAGACTGTAGCATTGGCTATCTCGTCTCAGTCTCTAAATTCCCATCTCTGGAAGTGCAATCCAACAGCAGATCTGCCCACCAGGGAGAAGTGCCTAAGTCCCTTTCTGTGGAATCACTTCATCTCTGCTAAGGATTTGTCAGGTGCAAAAAGAAGCACCCAGCCCTGAGACCCAGGAGAGGGGGCCAGAAGTGTGTGCAGTTGGAGGTGGTACAGATGGGGGCACTGTTTAAGCCTATAAATGCTTAGTTTACAACTTGACCAAGGTCGAGCTCGCCAGGCCAATATTGGGGTGCTAGATCCTCTAAGTACTCAGGAGCTAGCTGTGGGGAGGGAGAGACCTAGAGAGGTCAGAGGAGAGCTGGACCAGACCAGGTGGTGCTCTCTAAATACTCAGGGAGTGATGGGCTTCAAGGACATAATTCCCTGTGTCATAGCAGAAAGTAGTTTCAAAGATCTGTAGAGGCTCACCTGGCCACTGCCTGGCCAGTCACCTCTGCTGGCTAGTGCACAGCCCAGCCATGAGGCTGCCTATGCATAGCCACCAGCAGGGCCTCCCACACCAGCAGTGATTCTCATGCTGGGGGCATTTTCCACAACCTCTGTATCTCCCATAGGCGCCTCCCATCAGTGGGGTAGCTCTGAGGCACAATCTAGCCTCAGAACAAGTAAGGCTTTTGCTAGAGAGAGAAATACTTCCTCCCCGACTGTCTTGGCCCCCTGTATTTTCTGGAAACCCCTCCCAAAGAAACAACTTCTACTTGAACCTATCTGGACCACTGCCAGGGGGCCCCAGGTTCAACCAGTCCTGTCTCAAGAAGCCCGAGTCACCTTCTCTCCCCTTCCTTTTCTATATCAGAACTTTTCTGAATACAGATATCCCGTGACAACCTTTCAGCCCAGTGCACCTGAGTTCCCAGATGACCTGATCCTCTGTCCCCAGAAAGAACTGACCATAAGGATCAGACCTGTCCCTCGAGTCAGAGACCCAGGCACGCTACAGGCAGATCCAGAAGAGGACAACACCGAGGATGAAGATGAGGACACAGATGACAGTGACAGTAGTATCCAGCCCTATGTGGAACGGCCCCTCTTCATGAGGGAGAAGCTCCAGATTATGGGGCACTCGGAGACAGCTGAGTCTGGGGTAGGTTCAGGGGGAAGTGAAGATTCATCTGCCTGGGACTCTTCAGACAGGAGCTGGTCCAGCACAGTGGACTCCTCCCTTAAAGATGAAGCTGGATCTTCCGGCTATTTGGACAAGAAGGAGCCAGACCAAGAGCCTGATGAGGATGGGCACCAGGAGGCTCTCCCATGCCTGGAATTGTCTGAGGACTTGGGCACCGTCAAAGAGCTTCTGAAAGATGACCTCTCCAGGTGGGGAATTTGGGGTTCCTCATCTCCAAAGAGAGATCTGATTCCTGGGGAGCCCCCAGTTTCTCTTCAGACACTGACTTTCTCCTGGGACAGCCACTCTGAGGGAGAGGAGGGGGAGGAAGAGGAGGAGGAAGAGGAGGAAGAGCTGGATGCCTGGGAATCAGAACCCAAGGGAGGGGACACCTCAAGCCTGCAGAGGACAGAGGGCGGGGACAGGAGGCTGGGAGATTATATGGCCAGGTGAGTCGGCCCTGGTGGCCAATCTAGTCTGGTATTGCTACCTCTACTGCACTTCCCGGGGACCAGAGACACCTCCAGGTCTCGAGCCATGTCCCTTCCTGAGGTAATCAAAGTCCTGGCCACCATTTGTGGCTCACTCATGGGCTCTTTGTCATTTGGATCCAGCTGTAAGATGTCACCATTTCCTATGACCTACCTGCTATAGGTGACCTGTGAGAGGGATAGAGCTGTGGTCAGAGACTAGTTGAGTTCCTGTCTGCCCATTGTCCCAGGATTGACAGACCTTGTAGAAAATGAAACAGGTGAAGCCAGGTGGCTGTGGACCCCAAGGATTAACACACCCTAGTCCATAAATCATGTATAGCATTGTACAAAACAGACCTCAGATCAAATCCCAGCTCTGCCATTTACTAGTAGTAACCTGAGCAAGCCACTCTCAGTCTCTGTGCCTCAGTTTCCTCTTCTGCAGCTGTCACGTGGATATGATGAGGATTCAGGGAGTTTTCAGGTATGTGTGGCATGAGGTCACCACCTCACTTGTATCATCTGCACACTAGAACCCTCCATCTGTTGAGACTCCTAGAAGGCCCCAGACATCTCTCACCAGAGACCCCCTAAGCCAAGAGTGACAAGAATGCCTACCTTCTGACATGTCTACCCCATGTCTAGGTCACCCCATCCCTTCCTTGTCACCTTCACACCTTCTAGTCAGGGCCTCCCTGAAAACAGAGCCCAACCAACTTTACTTCCTTCTTGAACATAATCCACCTTCCAGGGGCCAGATTTGTCAGCCCAGGGAGGAAGCTGCACTCCTGCCTTGATGTCCTTTGTGGATGGCTTTGTGACAGTTTTTTGACTGTTGTGGTCATAATTCAGTCTTAGTGTCTGAGAAACCAGTATCTTTTGGGAACAGGTGACTGTCCTTTTGAGGGAGTGATGTATGTCATTGATTTGCAGATGAGCATAGCTGTCACTCATAGAACCGAAGTCTTTGTGTCTGAGAATCTAAACAGTCCTGGGCCTAGGTCCGGCCCCCACCCTTTCACTAGCACTTTATTCTGTGATGCAAAAAAGACCCTACAACTGCTTTACCCACAATGCTGTGTGGTTTTGAGTCTGGCATAAAGCTACAGCCTTACAGAGCACATGTGAGGTCACCCCTTAAAGGCATCTAATCCAGGGGTTCTTCAACTCATTCCCAAAGGCCTTTGGGAACCTGGGATCTTCCCCCTCATTGAACTGATCTACACACAGTGGCCTTGCATAGAAGGTGTGTTGAGGGGGGTTCACAACTAACAAAGTGTTCTCAAAGCACTATCTTCATCTCTGTCAGGTTTCAAACAAAGGGCCTCAAGTGCAACATGGCAAGGCTCTTGTTGAAGTTACCTGGCAAGGCTGTCCTAATGACTTAATATGTGTGATCCCAAGAGTTTCCAGAGTCATCAAACTGACAGGTCTTTGCCACCACCTCTGGGACACACACACACACACACACACACGCACGCACGCACGCACGCACGCACGCACGCACGCACGCACAAACACGCACACACACCTACCTCCCTGGGGTTTCCCTGCAATGAAGCTTGACCATGTCACTGAGGTCAGAAGAACAAATGAGTGTGCTCGCGGAGGGCCATATGTAAGAGCAGCTCCTGGAGATGTCCCGACCAAGGCCAGTGTCCTTTCTGAGACCCAGCTGAGCTGCTCTGTGGAGGCACTGTCAGAAATCCTTTGAAATGATCATCATTACTGTGTTGTCCTCACCCTCAGTGACGTATATGCTCGCTGTCCTCACCCTCAGTGACATATATGTTCACTGTCCTCCCCCTCAGTGATGTATACGTTCACTGTCCTCACCCTCAGTGATGTATACGTTCACTGTCCTCACCCTCAGTGACGTGTATGCTCACTGTCCTCACCCTCAGTGACATATATGCTCGCTGTCCTCACCCTCAGTGACATATATGTTCACTGTCCTCACCCTCAGTGACATATATGCTCACTTTCTCATTTGGGAAGCAAGTCTACATTTCCCAAAGCTTGCTCTCTGGTCTATCCTGGGCCTCTTACTCATTCTAAGTCCCAGCTCCTTCAGTCATTAGGTCATTGACAAAGAGCCTGTGGGAAGCCCACAGATAGGACATGAAGATCAACACAAGTGCTCAGCACTTAACTTACATAAAAGCCCTGTCTGTACACAGCATCTGGGGGCGGCAAGGATATCGAGGTCCAAGTGGCTGCCTTGGGTCACAGTGGTATGTGGCTTCGGCATGCCAAAGCTATACACCTTTCTTATACATTCATATTTTTGTCTAATTTTCCACTGTTTTATATCCTACTTAAATAATATTTTAATGTATGTTGGTATAATACTCAGAACCTTAAATAAAGAAATCTATTTTTAGAGAAAAAGCTGTAATTGGTGGGAACTAATGTATACTCCGCTGTTTGGAATATATGGGGAGTCCCCAAAAGGAGACCAGGAGTCTGGGAGATACAGACTCTACATGACACCATAGGGAAGTAGGGAATTGAGGTAGGGAGAGGACAGCCAGTCAAAGTGCAAAGTTAGACAGGTCCCTGATGCTAGAGATGAGGCCTCCACATCCCTGGGGAGATGTCAGTGCCTGGCCTACCAGACTTGATTCTCTATCAAGGACAGGAACTGGAGGGCTCAGCCACTGAGTGGCACTCATGGCACGTGGATTTTGCATTTGGTTTGGTTTTGAACCTAGTGTCTTACAGGAGCTAGGCAGCTGCCATACCACACTGAGCTGTATCCCCAACTGTGGGCTATGGGGGTGGGCACCATGTAGGTCTCAGGGATTGAACTCAGGTCTGAAGGTTTGCATAGCAAGTGCCTCTGACCCCTTCTTATTTTTGAAGTTGGCTGCGCTGGCCTTGGGCTCACCCTACTGTTCAGGCTGGTCTTGAACTTGTATTTTCCTGCCTCAGTTTTCCTCATAGTTGGAGTGACAAGCCTGTACCATTAGGTCCAGGCTTGGTCCACACATAGTCATTGTGTGAAATTGCCTCTCACACACACACTGTTGGGATCCACATGAGTGCCATGGGGCTAGGTCTTCCGTGCCACCTACTACAGTAGGCTGGAGTTTGCTCACTGGCTTGGGAGCTCACCCAGTGGAGACAGTGGTTCACAGAGGGACATAGAACAGCCTTGGTGTGGCCAGCCTTGCAACCTTAACCTCACTGCAGCAGCTCTCCACTAGAGAGGGTGCCCAGCCTCCAGGGACACACAGTGATTATGTAGCATTGCACCTGCAGGTGTCACCATAGACAGCTGCCCATCAGTCCCTGGACACAGTCCGAGCTGATCTAAGTCTCTTTCCAGTTCAGTCTTCCTGACCAGCAAGCCCAGGAGAGGATGCTACGACCCCTCCCACCTCTGTAGGACAATATATATAGCGAATATGTGCTTCCCACTCTGAGGGGTGGGGTGACAGTCTACAGCAAGAATGGGGTTATTGGTGTGAGAAGCCACAACATGCCTGGTGCCACAGAGGCCAGAAGAGGGCATCAGATCCCCTGGAACTGGAGCTTCCGTGTGAGTGCTGAGAGTTGAACCTGGGTCCTCTAGAAAGAGCAGCTAGTTCTCTAAACCACTGAGCCACCTCTCTGCATCCTATTTTTAGGACGGTGACAGTTACTGCTTTTAACCAATGGCTTTCCAATTCACAGGCCCAGGGAGGGAACAAAGCAGCTTGTGGGCAGGCTTGGGCGTCCGTGGCCCGCTTAATCTCCACGTGCCATGAGATCTTCCATAAAGCAGGGCAGATTTCCTTTTCCCATGACCCTCAACCCCTCCCGCCCTAATTCTGCCGGATTCCATGCTGAGCACCTGGGCCTGTTGCTGCCACCTTCTGGACGGTGGTGGGATGGCGGGACTGCCAGAGGACTCTTCCACCCTGCTGTGAAAAAGGGAGGAAACTGACACTAAATACATCAAGGCCCAGGGTGGACACTTGACACTGAATAAATAAATGAAAGAAATAATAAGACCCCCTAGGTAACATGGCTGGGTAGAGGGGAAGAGAGCCAGAATAAGAGCAAAGAGACTTTATCCCAAACAGAAATTGAGGAAGAGCTTCCAAAAGTCACAGGAAGTGATACCTAGGAAAGAGCTAGCAAAAAAGCAGTGTGACAGGGAGAAGTGAGGTGAACACAGCCTCTGCCATACCATCCCCACTGGAGGGGGGATCAAGCCCCTTCTAAAAGCAAGCCACCCGAGAGCAGGGCAGCCCTTAGAACATGCCCACAGCCCTCACAAGCCTCAAATCCAGCTACCGGCTGAACAGTGTCCCTTGAGACCTGTGGCCTTCGAATCATCAGTAGAAAAGAAATCCCAACTGGCCACACCATCCTCAGAGAGAATCTATTGCTAAAATAAATAAAATAAAAGCAGACCTACTCCGGGTGCCCGAGATCAGGGTCTATCCATGATAGAGAAGAACATCCCCCCACCCCCACCCAAAAGAGGGGCCAGCCTATGTCCTACCTGGTACCATGCCTAAGCTGCTCAACTCGTAACCTATAGCAGCCCCAAGGTGGGGTAGACAATAGGATTAACTCCTGAGTTTATACCTTATGTTCCAAGGTACTTTCACCAAACCGCTAAATTCAGAGACCCCCCTCCCCTCTCAATTCTATAAAATTATAGGATGCCCTGAGCTCTATGGGCTGCTGCTGAATACAGTACTTAGAAAGAAAGAGAGAGAGAGAGAGGAGATGATATGAAGCAAGTAGAGAGACTATTGGGAAGGCCTGGGGGATAAGTTGGGGGTTGGGGATGCATATAATGAAGACACATTGTGTGAAATTGCCAAAGAATAAATAAAAATTAGTCTATGTTTTCGAAAAGAAAGAAACACAGACATTTCAAATAACAACAAAAAGAGAAAGAGTACAAAAATTCAACTGACCCTCCCTGGCACTTCTGATCTTTGAAGACCCAGGGAGAAACTGCCTGAGGTGGCTAGTTTTATGTCAACTCAGCACAAGTTAGAGTCTTCTGAAAGAAGGGAACCTCAGCTGAGGAAATGTGGCCCTAAGATGCAGCTGTAGGGCATTTTAAATTAGTGATTGATGCGGGAGGGCCACGCCCAGTGTGGATGATGCCATCCCTGGGCTGGTGGTCCTGGGTTCCATAAGAAAACAGGCTGAGAAAGCCATGTGAGCAAGCCAGTAGTAAGCAGAGCTCCTCAATGGCCTCTGCATCAGCTCCTGATTCCTGGTTCCCACCCCGTCGAGTTCCTGCCTTGGTTTCCCTCAATAGACTATGGCTCCAGATGTGTAAGCCAAATAAACTTTTCCTCCCCCACGTTGCTTTTGGTCTCGGTGTTCAATCACAGCCACAATAACCCTAACCAAGACCCTGACCCAGCACATCATCTTCTCAATTCTTTAGTACTCCTTGTAACTCTTTTTTGCCCCCTAGAAGTTTTGTAGGACTTTGGCTTTAGCATATATAAAAAGAGATGGTTTTATTGTTATTCTCCTTCAGGTGTACATCTAATTTTTTATGCACTTTTTTTCCATTTGGCAACAACATTTTTTCCTTAGTTTTTTTTTTAACTTCTTAATCTTTTTAAAATTTAAATAATTGGGCTGGGCAGTGGTGACACACACCTTTAATCCTAGCACTCTGGAGGCAGAGGCAAGTGGATCTCTGTGAGTTTGTGGCCAGCCTGAGAGCTAGTTCCAGGACAGGCCTCAAAGCTACAGAGAAACCCTGTCTCAAAAAAACAAAAACAAACAAACAAAAGAATCCCAATGCAGAAGCCCAAGATAGCACGGCTTCCTCAGGAGCTCCTCAGTCCACAGTGGCTGATCAGATCCACTGAACTAGGTCAAGCGTCAGGTAAGTGATTCAAAAGTTTCCTGGTAAAAAATGATGAAAGAAGACAGGACAGGAACAAGCAGATGAGTCCCATCCAGGAAAGTCAACAACACCTCCGCCACCCCTGACGTTTCTTCTTCTGCTTCACGCAGTGCATTGGTGACGCTTCCTACCCGTTTATAATTATTTCACTCATTTCCATTTTCCTCCCAAACCTCAATTTTCTTGCTGACTTTTTCTTCCATGTTGTTAACTTGCTCATTCATTTTGTTGACAAGAAAGAAACATGACTCCAAACTGACTTCAAGACTAGTGAACATATACCCAAAAGATTCTTGCAAACTGAGAGGTTGCCACAGAAGCATGAGGACCAGAGTTTGGGACCCAGCACCCACATTAAAAGCCAGGCAGACATGGGGGCCCCTCTGTGCTTAGGAGGTAGAGATGGAGGATTCCCTGGCCAGTGCAAGCTGGCCAGTGACATTAGCTGAGCCAATGAGCTCTGTGCTGAATGACAGACCCTGCTTCAAGAAACAGAGCTGGAGGACAACACCTGACGTCAACTGCAGGTCTCCACATGTACACACATACAAGTGACCGTGCTCCCATACACATGGAAATGGACATAGACGAATGAGCGGGGGGGGGGGGGGGGCGGGGGGGGGGGGGGGGGGGGGGGGGGGGGGACAGGTATCTGGGGCTGACTTACAGGCTGAGATTCCCAAGTCCTCTGTCACACATGCCTGCTCTTGGCAGCGGGATTGTAGATGGGGTGTCAGTGCTGTTCAGTGTTTGCAGCACAGGTGGAAGTGGCACAAGACAAGCCAAGACCTTAATTCCCAGACTGTGATCTGTACGGCCTACGTCTCCGCCGATGACTGCCCGCTCCCATCTTCCCTGGGTTCATTCCTGTGTGTACCAAGTGATCTCATTTGCTTTATAGGACACAGACCCACAGTTCCGTCTATATCTAAATGAGTCAGCCCTATGAGTCATTGCTCAAGGACAGTTTGGGACCCAGTCCAGCCCAGGAAGCAGGCTCCTCAGCATGTGATAACACAGCACTCCAAATGTGAAGAGCAATTTACAGAGTCAGGTGTAGGTTTGTCTGTCTGTCTGTCTGCCCCCCCCACCTACTGCTTTATGTGAAGTCTAAAGGAGGGAAGCATGGGTCAGCCCCTGTCCTGATACATAAAACCATCAGCAGATGGGGGTGGCCTCCCTGAGTATTATCTGATATTCCAGCCTCAGTTTCTCTGAGAAGCCAAATTCCCATAGGGTCTGGGGTCCCACATTCCCACCTCTGAACCTTAGGCCAAGTCCCCACCCCTCTTAAATTCCAGCATCTTAAACTGTGGTGATGACCCGGTATGGGGGAGTCACATAACTGAATGGAGGGAGTTGTAAAAAAAAAAAAAATGGCAACAGTAGCCGGGAGTTGGCACACACCTTTTTAGTCCCAGCACTTGGAAGGCAGAGGCAGGCGGATCTCTGCGAGTTCAAGACCAGCCTGGTCTACAAAGCTACACAGAGAAACCCTGTCTCCCCACCCCCCCCAAAAAAATTGTCAACAGCAAAGTGTCTGGCATCCAACAGATCTGAGGTGTTTTCTGCAATGGTCACCGTGTTGCATGAGTTACTGCCTTAGCACTTGCCACCACACACATGCAGTCATGACATACAATGCCAGTGGTCACTGCCCGAAACACATCAGGTCACATACAAGTTATAGATTGTGGGTTTTGCTTTGTAATTCTATTTACTTACTTGTGTGGCTGTGCACACAAACGTGTGAAGGTCAAAGGACACCTTGAGGGAATCGGTTCTCTCCTTCTACCATATGGGTTCCAAGAACTGAACTTAGGTTGTTAAGCTTGGTGGCCAGTGCCTTTACCTGCTGAGCCGTCTCTTTGGCCCCATAGAACAGGCTTTCCACGGTTCCCTAGACGTTTTCTACTCTTACAGAAACATAACGGCTTAGTTATGAGAAACTGAGACGTTCAGTGTTTTTCTCTCATCTACCTCAGCAGGTATGAAAGTAGCACTTCTCTGGGTTATATTTTGTTGGAATACTTGATATTAAGGTTTATTTGATTGGATTTGACTTATATGTAATCTGTAGGGGTGGATATGTGCATGTATGTGCAAGTGCCCACAGAGGCAGAAAAGCACTTTGGACCCTCTGGAGTCACAGTTCCCGGCAGGAGTGTTGGGAACAGAACTCAGGTCCTCTGCAAGAGCGGCAAGCATTTTTCTTCACCACTGAACCATCTCTCCAGCCCCAAAATGCTTGGTTTAAAATTTGCCATTTGAAGTGATGGCTTGAGCTTCATTTTTTGAAAAATCATGGAAAAAATTTTAAGAGCTTTTGTCTTAGGGTTAGGACACCATTTCCAAAACTTCCTGAAATGGCCCTAAAAAAATGGCCTGCCATTTTGTCCTATGTGATTATAAAAGGCAACATTCTGAGCGTTGATGATTATAAAATTCTAATTAACTCTGACAAGCACTGAAGGTGCTCTGGGCCCTGCAGTAGCAAACACTCAGCCAAGATTTAATTATTTCTATAAAAATAAGCAAGCACATTCATCTCACTAGTGTGCACATTTGCCTTTGTATGCTAACAAATGGCAAAGGTCTGCAAACAAACAATGTTCTATCAGTAAACATTCAATGTGTTACTTTATACATGTATCTACTCAGGGTTATATAAAAATTTCTCAGAAGAAAACCCTTGCTGTGGAATAATCCTTTCGTACACTGTGAAGATTTGTTACTGTGATTGGTTTAATAAAAAAGCTGACTGGCCAATAACAAGATGAAGTTAGGCAGGAGAGCCAAACTGAGAATGATGGGATGAGGGATGACCGAGTCAGAGAGACACCAGCCAACTGCCGAGGAAAGCGGACGTACAGAGAATGAGATCGCAAGCCATGAGCCACATGGTGAGGCATAGGTAAGAAATATGGGTTACTCTAAGTGTAAGGGTTAGCTAGTAACAAGCCTGAGCTATTAGCCAAGCATTTATAAGCAGTATTAAGCCTCTGAGTGATTATTTGGGAACTGGCTAGCAGGAGAGAAACGTCTGACTACAAAGTGTCATAAATGGGAAAAATTGAAGAAGTAATGAACCCCCTGGAGTCCTGATCAGCAGGACTTGGTGTGAGTGAACTTGGCCTCAACTTGACCTCCTGGGTGAATCTATGTCACTACACTCTTCACCTGGGCTTTTACAAAAGCCACCCACCCTGAGTCCTTGGTTCCTCATTTTGTAACAGGGGTGACCTAGTTAGCATTGCTATTGTTGTAATGAAACACATGACCAAAACAACTTGGAGATGAAAGGGTTTACTTCATTTACACTTTCAGGTCCCAGTCTATCGCTGAAGGAAGTCAGGGCATGAACTCAAGCAGGGCAGGAACCTGAAGGCAGGAGCTGATGCAGAGGCCATGTGCTGCTTACTGACTTGCTCCTCATGGCTTGTTCAGCCTGCTCTCTTATAGAACTCAGGATCACCAGCCCAGGGAAGACACCACCCACAATGGGCTGGACTCTCCCCCATCAATCACTAGTTAAGAAAATGTCCTATAGCCGGATGAGGCTCCCTCTTTTCAGGTGACTCTAGTTTGTGTCAAGTTGACTTAAAACTAGCCAGGACAAGCCGGGCAGTGGTGGCGCACGCCTTTAATCCCAGCACTCGGGAGGCAGAGGCAGGCGGATCTCTGTGAGTTCGAGACCAGCCTGGTCTACAAGAGCTAGTTCCAGGACAGCCTCCAAAGCCACAGAGAAACCCTGTCTCGAAAAACCAAAAAACTAAAACAAAATCTAGCCAGGACAAGGGGATATGCACTACATAAGCCTGCCCCTCAAAAACTGTCCCAATACAACCACACAGCCACTGAGGCATGGAAAGCCTCATTTCTGTGTTGTAGCTGAGAAAGCTGAGTGGGAGGGAATGAGCGATCTACACACAGGGAGAAGCAGGAAAGCCAGGGCTTGAACCCAGCCTGTCTGCATGGCACCTGCACTCATGTGTAGACTATCCATCCACAGAGCTGTCCCCCTCCAATTGCAGCATGAGACACAAGTGGTCTAATGTTCTTATATGTCTTTGCTTTTTAAAAACTGTGTATGTGTGTTGGGCAGTGGTGGTGCACGCCTTTAGTCTAGCACTCAGGAGACAGAGGCAAGTGGATCTCTGTGAGTTTGACACCAACCTGGTCTACAAGAGCTAGTTCCAGGACAGGCTTCAAAGCTACACAGAGAAACCCTATCTGAAAAACAAAATCGTATGTGCATGTGTGTGTGCGTGTGTGTGTGTGTGTGTGTGTGTGTGTGTGTGTGTGTGTGTGTGAGAGAGAGAGAGAGAGAGAGAGGGAGAGAGAGAGAGAGAGAGAGAATTCAAATCTTCAAGTGGTTTCTGACTCCAAAGCAATGCTGAAGTGATGCTATTCAAGGCCATCTAGACCAAACTTTCCCCACATATGTAGACACTGAGGAAGGTGCAGGAACTAGCCCCCTGGTCTAAGCTGGGGTGTCTATTCAGAAGCTCTTGATGGGTGCAGTCCAGACTTGTACTCAGACAGCATGAGTCAGAATGGATGGCGTCTGGATGCCCCAGGAGGAGTATGGAAGAGTACCAAAGCTTCGTGCCTGTCCCTCCTCTCTAGGAGCACCCCAGGCTCAGGAACACCCACAAAGGCCACCACAAACACCCCATTCCTTCTGATGTCTTCCTTCGACAAGGAGGTTCTGTTGTCTCTGCGAGCTGAGGGAAGGGACAGAGTTCTGAGTATTTGTACTTTTAGGGTGTATTTTTAAATTTCTGTTGTTTTGTTTTTGAGACAGGGTTTTGTTATATAGTCCATTCTGTCTTTGAACTTGCTAGATAGTCCAGACTGGACTCAAATTGAAGATCACCTGTTGTCTCTGCCTCCCAAGTGCTTGGATGACAGGCACATGCCATCCAGTTAGGGTAAGCTTTTTCTGTAGCTTAGGGGTGATGTTTTAAAGGGGATCAGCCATGGGCCAGATCCCCTGGCACACTCAGGCAATCAAATATTACCCAGTATCTGCTCTGTGTCAGCCCAAAGGCAAAAGTACAGGACAGCACGTTTCAGGTCTGGACCCCAAGTCAGCACTAAGGGAACAGAAAATAGTGGCATGCTCTCTAGGCTCAGGAAACAGTAATTACAGCAGACAGGATGCTCACACAGTGTAGTCTTCCAGGAGGAAGATTTGAACAATGAATAAGAGTTAGACAGGGAAGGGGATGGAGATAACACACTAGACAATTGTGCAAAGGCCCAAAGCTAAGCTAAAGAGAGGAGTGATGGAGACATCAGACACAAAACAAGGGCTTTTCCTCATGGCCTGAGCTGGAACCAGAGAAGAAAAATCTGACGCTGTGTGGCCGGCCCTACTAGCTGATGTTAGTTAGATGCCTGCCCTCCTAGAATTCGGCCAAAGGGTGTTCATTGCTCTCAGAACACTGCCTCCCCAGGAATTAAAGGGTTACCTATTTCTAGAGACCCAGGAATGAGAACATCCAGGGGCCTTAAACCAGGCCAAACCTCACTTTACACTCTCCAATGAGAGAGATATTTGCCACATTCAACAGCACAGCCTAAGCTGATTTGGTAGGGAGGGCATGCCTCCTCTCAACACCTTCACTTCCTCTCTAGAATCAGTTATGCAGAAAGGGTCTAGGTTCTTCTGCATGCAGCAGCCTCCATGTTTGTAAATGATTCTCATATCTCCACCCCAACCCAGGCATCTTTCTTCAATCACGAGTCTATCACACTGGCAAGTTACACTGGACAGTGCCAAGTGTGGGGTAGACTACAGTTCTAGGAGGATTTTTCAAAGATTTATTTAGTTTTATTTTATCTGTGTGGGTGTTTTGCATCACACACACACACACACACACGGACACACACACGCACGCACGCACGCACGCCCGCACGCACGCACGCACGCACGCACGCACACACGCACGCACGCACGCACCATGTGCATGCAAGGCCAGCAGAAGCCAGAAGAGGGCATCAGATTCCCCTGGAACTGAAGTTACAGATGGTTGTGAGCCATCATGTGGCCAAGAACAGAACCCAGATCTTCTGTAAAGGCAACAAATGCTGTTAAGCACTGAGCTATCTCTCTGGAAGGATTTTTGAGATCATTATGAGCTGGAATTGCTATTTGGGGAGGAAAAACAATCCCAGGTGGCTTTGGAGAAGTGAGAATTTGGCTAAGGAAGAACTAGCATTCCAGGAAAGGCTCAGTGCTGGCAAAGGCCCTTCTTAGCTGTTTGTCTAGTAACCTTGTCTTTTCCTTACAGAAATTAATATGGCTCCCTTTAGTGATCTGAGTTAAAAATGTCTCCACAGGCTCATTTGAACACTTGTTCTTCAGTTGGTGGCACTGTTTGGTGGGGGTGGGGACCTAAGAGGTGTGGCCTTCTGGAGGAAGCACATCACTAGAGGTGGCTCTAAGAGTTCTTAACCTCAGCTGGGCAGTGGTGTGAAGATGGAGGTTTCTGCCCCAAATAAGCACACAGAGACATATTAATTTTAAACTCTTGGCAGATGGGTAGGGCTTCTTATTTGCTAGCTCTTAATTATTAACCCATAACTACTAATCCATGTATTTCTACATGACCCTATCTTACCAGAGAACACCTGGTGTGTCCCATCTTCCCAGTTTCTACATGGTGTCTCCTTTTTTGCAGCATTCTCCTCATCTCCTCACCCACCTATCTTCCTACCTCTACTGGCCAATCAGTGTTTTATTCATCAACCAATAAAAGAAACATATATATAGAAGAACATTCTCCAGGCAGACATGGTATTAGAGAAGAAGCTGAGAGGCTTTGAGCTTTCAAGAACCCATGCTATGCCCAGTCTCTCTCTCTCTCTCTCTCTCTCTCTCTCTCTCTCTCTCTGTGTGTGTGTGTGTGTGTGTGTCTGTCTGTATGTCTGTCTCTCTGTGTCTCTGTGTGTTTCTCTCTGTCTTTTTCTTTATTTCTTTCTCTCAAACACACAAAATAATGTTTCCAATTTATTTTTAAATTACATCATTTGTTTGTTTGTTTTTTGTGGGCTATGTGTGGCAAGGCACCTGAGTGTGAGGTTCAGTAGACAACTTGTAGGAGTTGCTTCTTTCCACCATATAAGCCCCAGGGATCCACCCCAGATTGCCATCTGGCTGGGCAGCAAGTGCTTTTACCTGCAGAGTCATTTTGCCAGCCCCCAAATTCCTTAACATCTTATTTTCTGTCCTAGTTTGCCTTCTGTTGCTGTGATAAACACAGTGATCAAAAACAACCTGGGGAAGAAAGCATTTATTTCAGCTTACACTTCCAGGTCACAGTCCATCACTGAAGTCTTGGTTGAGTGTTGAGTGCTGGCTCACTCACTGGCTTGTGCTCAGCCAATTTTCTCATACAGCCCAGGCCCACCTGCCTAGGAATGGTACCGCCCACAGTGGGCTGGGCCCTCCTATATCAATCTTCTACCGAAACAATCTTTCACAGACATGGCCGCAGGCCAATCTGAACTTCAAATGCAACTCCCTCAGTTGATTCTAGACTATGCCAAGCCCACAACTGATGCTAACTAGGACACTTCCCCTTCATTCCTGTGTAGACCTAGACAATCAGACCTAGGGGACCTCATCAGGTTCTGTAGCAGTACTTTCTTTTGGGGATTGACAGCCCACAAATAATGACATGGGGACTTATTATTAATAATGAAAGCTCGGCCTTACCTTAGGCTTGTTCCTAACTAGTTCTTATAACTCAAATTAACACATTTTTAATCTATGTTCTTTCACAAGGCTCATTACCTCATCTCCATACTGTCCATCCTGTTTCCTCCGAGTCTGACTGGAGACTCTCCTTTCTTCTCCCATACCTCCTGCCTACCTATTGGCCATTAAGCTTTTTTATTACACTTATTACAGCAATATATCTTCACACTGTTACAAATATCACACCACAAGATTCTTTCCTCATGCACCTCAGGAACCCCAAGGAAAGCCTTCCTGTTCCACAGATCTGATGTGACTGTAGCTTGTCCTCTTGTCCAGTCACCTTGGTCCCCACCATCTCCTCCCATCAGTGGCCTCTTCTTGGCAATTTGTAACCCAGCCCTCTGATGGAGTCTTCCCACTCCAGCTTGTCCCTAAAGTCATTAAATCCTGCTTCTCCACCAGGGCCCATTCCCAAGGGACTTTACTACAAAAGGGTTGGTTCTCAAGGGACAGGAGACTGTGAGTTCAGTCATAACTGGGAAGCAGCCAGCATTCCACATAGAGTGCTATTCCACCCTCCCATATACAGTAAAGACAGAAGGGATGTGGTGCCTGTGCTGCTCAGTTGGTTGTGGTTGTTTTTGTTGGTTTGGTTGGTTGGTTGTTGTTTTGGTTTGGTTTGGTTTTTGTGGTTTGGGGTTTGTATGTTGTTGTTGTTGTTGTTTATTTCTGTCAACTTGACATAAAGTAGGGTCATTTGAGAAGAGGAAAGCTCAGTGAGAAAATAACTCTATCAGATCATCCTGAAGAAGAATTTCTTCATCAGTAGTTGGTATGATAGGGCCCAGCTCACTGTGGGCAGTGCCATTCCTGGACAGCAAGATGGTCCTGGGTTCTATAAGAAAGCAGCTGAGCAAGGCATGGAAAGCAAGCCAATGAGCAGCGCCCCTCCATGGCCTCTGTCAGCTCCTGCCTCCAGTTCCTGGCCCGCATGAGTTCCTGCCTTGGCTTTTCTCAACGATGGACTATAACCTGTAAGCTAGGTAAGTCCCTTCCTTCCTGAGGTGCTTTTAGCCATGGTGTTCTCACAGCATAGAAAACGAAGTAGGGCAGTACCAGGGCTGGTCACGTGATAGGCCCGGAAGATCCCCAAAGAAGACACTGCCACGGCTGAGGTGCCACCCAAATGGGGTCACAGTGAGTGAGAAATACCTGACTTCTCCAGTGTGCCTCTAGTGCCTGCCATGGGCTCAGCCTATCAGGAGGCAGCTGGCAAATCTGAGGAATGTAATTTCTACAAATGAAGGATAGTGTATACCTGTCTCTCGGGTTAGATAAGTTTAGCAGAGATTCAGTGCTAACGTATAACACCGAAAGGTTAAAGACATGTGGTGGTGGCGCAAGCCTTTAACCCCAGCACTAGGAAAGCAGAGACAGGTGGATTCTGTGAGTTTGAGGCCAGCCTGGTCTACAGAGTGAGTTCCAGGATAGGCTCCAACGTTACACAAAGAAACCCTGTCTTGGGAAAGAAAGGAAGGAGATGGAGAGGAGGGAGGGAGGGAGGGATATGAAACACTAATCTATATATCAGAGCCTGTTCTATATAAAACACCAATTCAAGGGCTGAGAGTGCAGCTCAATGTAACTTGTTACGGTCTCATGGGAGGTAGATGGGTTTGATCCCCTTGGTCTGCAGTAGATAATGGGGCCAGGCAAATGCGCTACAGGGCAGCGTCCTTTGTCATATGCACACTAAACCGAGCCCAAGTAGACGTCCCTCATCATCTCTGGAGCCCAGCCAGGAGGAGAAAACTTAGGCACTCACAGTTTCGCTAACATTAAGTCCATCTTTGTTTCCGTGGATACTGCTGTCCAGGACTGCTCTTCAAGGTGGAATAAGAGCTAGGGGAGGAGTTTCAATCTCCACTGCCCCAACCCAAAGTTCTGTAGTACTGACAGATTCTGGCCTCTCTAACGCACTGTAAAGGGCCCCCTTTGTTGTCATTATGTTTTCCTCTGTGCATGTGTGTGTGATTGGGGCAGGCATGTGTGTGGTGTGTGTGGAGGTTGCAGGACAGCCTCAGCACCCACATTTGCTTCCATTCTCCTTGAGACAGCATCTCCTGTTGCTCATTGCTGCATCCACAGAGTACCTGGACCACCGGTATCCAGAGATCCTTCTGTCTGTGTCTCCCATCCGCCCATAGGAGTGTGGGGATCACAGACACCGGACTTGCACATCCATCCAGCTCCATTAAGGTTCTGGGGGTCCAAAAGCAGGTCTTCATGCTTGCTTGAAAACACCCAACCCATTGAGCCATCTCCATTCCAATTTCCCCCTACTTTTTAGAGATTCTTCATCCAAGGTTTAAGGTTAAGATTGCCTGGGTGCTGGGCAGTGGTGGCACACGCCTTTAATCCTGGCACTTGGGAGGCAGAGTGGATCTTTGTGAGTTTGAGGCCTGCCTGGTCTACAGCGCAAATTCCAGGACAGGCTCCAAATTGACACAGAGAAACCCTGTCTAGACCTCCCCACCCCCCAAAAAAAGATTGCCAAAGTTTCCCACCTCAGCAGCCTTGCCAGAAGGCCACTGTTCCAAGGGCACCGTTCAGCCTGGTGGGGTGGGGTAAGGATAGGCACAGAAAAGGGGGCATCAAGCTCCCTGCATTTCCTCCAACCAGAATCAAGCCAAGGAGTCATTGTAGAAGGAACACTCTGATTTGTCCTCTAGCTTGCCCTATTCTTTTCCTCAGGATAAATCTTTTTGTAATGGAATTATTAAGGCAGAAGATATGTACTGGGGGGGGGGGGGCTTTGATATGTGCCCATTACTATCTGATAAGACTGTATTTCGGTTTTGCCTTTCCCACCTCTCAGTGCGCTGATACACCACCAGGGGCCTTGGGATGAATCAGTCACCAGACCAGATAAACAAGCCCTTCTGCTGCCGGTGCCTCCTCTACACTCTAGAAGGGAACCTCCCTTGGATCTCACCCAGGCCCTGGAATTCCTCAGCACCAGGCTAGGCACCTTTGCACCCCTGCCCCCACGGGCCTAGATCCTACTCTCCTCTCCTCTCCCCGCCCAATGGCGGGGGGGGGCGGGCGTCACGC